TATTCCCATTTGCGTTGTTATGCCCGCTGTTGTCACCCCCGCTGTTCCGGTTGTTATTCCCGCTGTTCCCATTGTTATTCCCACTGTTGTTATTCCCGTTGTTCCCATTCCCGCTGTTCCCATTGTTCCTATTCCCACTGTTCCCGTTATTCCCATCATTCCCACTGTTCCCGTCATTCCCATTCCCACTGTTCCCGGTGTAGTTATTCCGGCTGTTCCCGTCATTCCCGCTGTTCCCGCTGTTCCCATTCCCACTGTTCCCATTCCGGCTGTTCCCGGTGTTGTCATTCCGGCTGTTCCCGTCGCTCCGGCTGTACCTGGTTGGAGCTCATGTTCTCCGTTTTCATCAGCGAGCTGTAGCTCCTGCCGGGGGATCCCGCTCAGCTCCCGCCCGCAATTCCCGGGAATTCCCGCCGGGAACGCCGAGCCCCGCCCACAATTCCCAAGGATTCGTCCCTCCGGAATTCTCCCCGGGGCTGGAACTGCCCCTCCCCCACCCCCCCCATGGGATATCCCGGAATTCCCATCCCGGGGATCGCTCCGGGATCTCCCGGCTGGGAAATCGGGAATTGGGATCCCTGGGAATGCAGGAACGGGATCCCTGGGAATGCCGGGAATGGGATCCCTGGGAATGCTGGGAATGGGATCCCTGGGATCTCTGGGATTGGGATCCCTGGGAATGCTGGGAATGGGATCCCTGGGAATGCTGGGAATGGGATCCCTGGGAATGCTGGGAATGGGATCCCTGGGATCTCTGGGATTGGGATCCCTGGGAATGCTGGGAATGGGATCCCTGGGAATGCTGGGAATGGGATCCCTGGGAATGCCGGGAATAGGATCTCTGGGAAATCCAGGAATTTGGATCCCGATCCCTGGAAAATCCCGGATTTTGGAATCCCTGGGAATGCGGGAATTGGGATCCCTGGGAAATTGGGAACTGAGATCTCAATCCCTGGAAAATCCTGGATTTGGGATCCCTGGGAATGCTGGGATTTGGGACCTCCAGAAAATCGGGAATCGGGACCTGGATCCCTGGAGAATTCCAGATTTTGGGATCCAAATCCCTGGGAAATCCTGGATTTTGGGATCCTTGGAAAATCCCAGATTTGGGATCCCTGGGAAATCAGGAATTGGAATCCCTGGGAATGCCAGATTTGGGATCTCAGGAAAATCGGGAATTTGGAACTCTGTCCCTGGAAAACCCTGGATTTTGGATCCAAATCCCTGGAAAATCCAGGAATTGGGATCCCTGGGAATGCTGGGAATGGGATCTCTGGGAAATTGGGATTTGGGATCCGTGGAAATCCTGGATTCGGGATCCAAATCCCTGGAAAATCTGGGAGTTTGGATCCCTGGGAAATCCGGGAATTTGGATCCAAATCCCTGGGAAATCTCAGATTTTAGGATCCCAATCCCTGGGAAATCTGGGAATTGGAATCCCTGGGAATCCTGGATTTGGGATCTCTGGGAAATCAGGCATATGGGATCTCAATCCCTGCGAAATCCCAGAGTTTGGGATCCAAATCCCTGAAAAATCCTGGATTTGGGATCTCCAGAAATTCTGGGAATGGGGATCTCAATCCCCAGGATATCCCGGATTTCAGATACCAGGGAAATCCTGGATCTGGGATCCCAATCCATGGAAAATTCCGGATGTTTGATGGCAATCCCAGGGAAATCCCGGATCTGGGATCCCAATCCCGGATTTCCCTGGATCCCGATTTTCCGGGCCTGGAGCCGGGGGAGGCTCCCCAGGGAATCCCGGGAACGCCGACCCCGACCCCCCCCCGGGATGAATTCCCAGCCCAGATCCCGGGAATCAGCGGGAATCCCGGAATTCCAGAGGGAGCTCCAGGGTCAATTCCAGAGGAATTCCAAAGGGAATTCCAGAAAAAATTCTGGAAGCAATTCCAGAGCAGCTCCGAGGAGAATTCCCGAGGCAATTCCAGGCTCTCTTCCCCGGCATTCCCAGCCCCCATTCCCTGGGATTCCCTTGGGAAAACCTCCAGGAGCCTCCATCCATCCCGCCATTCCCGGAATTCCTGGGATTCCCGGGATTCATTCCCGGAATTCCTGGGATTCATTCCCGCCTGGTCTTGTCCATTTCCCATCCCCAGCGCAGATCCTGCAGCTGCTGCTGCCGCCATTCCCAACATTCCTGGAATTCATTCCCAGCGTTCCCGGAATTCATTCCCAGATTCCACTCCCAGGCTCCATTCCTGTGTTTCATTCCTGGGTCCCGTTCCCAGAATTCCCGTGTTTCATTCCCGGGTTCCATTCCTGGGTCCCATTCCCAGAATTCCCGTGTTCCATTCCCAGAATTCCATTCCTGGAATTCATTCTTGGGTTCCATTCCCGGGTCCCATTCCCAGAATTCCCGTGTTCCATTCCCAGAATTCCATTCCTGGAATTCATTCTTGGGTTCCATTCCCGGGTTCCATTCCTGGGTTCCATTCCCAGAATTCGGGTTCCATTCGTATTTCATTCCTGGATACCCGAAATTCCCGGTGTTCCATTCCTGGATTCCCAGAATTCCTGGGTTCCTTTCCTGGATCCCATTCCCGGAATTCCCGTGTTCCATTCCCGGGTTCCATTCCCGGGTTCCATTCCTGGAACAACGTTCCCGTGTTCCATTCCCGGGTTTTGTTCCCAGAATTCCCAGATCTCCCGGTGTTCCCGGAATTCCCGCTGTTCCGGCTGTTCCCACCTGAGCTCGTCCATCTCCCGTTTCCGGCGCTGTTCCTCGCGCTGTTCCCGCCGCAGCTCCTGCAGCTGCTGCCGGCGCCGCCCGCGCTCCTCCCGATCCCGACATTCCCGCTCGGCCGCCAGGTCCGGGAATCGCTCCACGCGCGTCCGCTCCAGGCGCCGCAGCTGCTCCGACGGCCGCCGCTCCACCGTCACCGAGCGCACCTGGAACAACACCAGGAAAACACTGGGAAAAAACACCGGGAATTACAGCCGGAATCACGGCCTGCCGCTCCACCGTAATTACAGCCGCCTGGAACAACACCAGGAAAACACTGGGAAAAAACACCGGGAATTACAGCCGGAATCACGGCGTGCCACTCCACCGTCACTGAGCGCACCTGGAAAAACACTGGGAAAAACCCCGGGAATTACAGCCGGAATCACGGCGTGCCACTCCACCGTCACTGAGCGCACCTGGAAAAACACTGGGAAAAACCCCGGGAATTACAGCCGGAATCACGGCCTGCCGCTCCACCGTCACCGAGCGCACCTGGAAAAACACCAGGAAAACACTGGGAAAAAACCCGGGAATTACAGCCGGAGCCACGGCCTGCCGCTCCACCGTCACTGAGTGCACCTGGAAAAACACTGGGAAAAAACACCGGGAATTACAGCCGGAATCACAGCGTGCTGATCCACCGTCACTGAGCGCACCTGGAAAAACACTGGGAAAAAACACCGGGAATTACAGCCAGAATCACGGCGTGCCGCTCCACCGTCACCGAGCGCACCTGGAATTGCAACACCTGGAAAAACACCGGGAATGAGAGCGGGAATCACGGCCTGCTGCTCCACCATCAGCGAGTGCGCGTGGAATTACAACAGCCGGAAAAACACCGGGAATTACAGCCGGAATCACAGCGTGCCGCTCCACCGTCACCGAGCGCACCTGGAAAACTGGGAATAACACCGGGAAAAGCACCGGGAATGAGAGCGGGAATCACGGCCTGCTGCTCCACCGTCACTGAGAGCACCTGGAATTACAACAGCCGGAAAAACACCGGGAATTACAGCCGGAATCACAGCGTGCCGCTCCACCGTCACCGAGCGCACCTGGAATTGCAACACCTGGAAAAACACCGGGAATTACAGCTGGAATCACGGCCTGCTGCTCCACCATCAGCGAGTGCGCGTGGAATTACAACAGCCGGAAAAACACCGGGAATTACAGCCGGAGTCATGATGTGCCGTTCCACCGTCACCGAGCGCACCTGGAAAACCTGGAAAAGCACCGGGAAAAACACCGGGAGCGGGAATCATGGCCTGCTGCTCCACCGTCACTGAGAGCACCTGGAACAACACCAGGAAAAACACCAGGAAAAACACTGGGAAAAACACCGGGAATTTACAGCCGGAATCACGGCGTGCTGATCCACCGCCACCGAGCGCACCTGGAAAACCTGGAAAAACACCGGGAAAAACACCGGGAATGAGAGCGGGAATCACGGCCTGCTGCTCCACCGTCACTGAGAGCACGTGGAACAACACCAGGAAAAACCCCAGGAAAAACACTGGGAAAAACCCCGGGAACTTACAGCCGGAATCACGGCGTGCTGATCCACCGCCACCGAGCGCACCTGGAAAACCTGGAAAAACACCGGGAAAAACACCGGGAATTACAGCCGGAGTCATGATGTGCCGTTCCACCGTCACCGAGCGCACCTGGAAAACCTGGAAAAGCACCGGGAAAAACACCGGGAATTACAGCCGGAGTCATGCTGTGCCGTTCCACCGTCACCGAGCGCACCTGGAAAACCTGGAAAAGCACCGGGAAAAACACCGGGAATTTACAGCCGGAATCACGGCGTGCTGATCCACCGCCACCGAGCGCACCTGGAAAAGCGGGAATGACAACGGAAAAAATGGGAATGAGAGCGGGAATCGCAGCCTGCCGCTCCACCGTCAGCGAGCGCAGCTGGGAATGGGAACACCGGGAGCGACACCGGGAATCACGGTGTACCATTCCACCATCAGAGAGTGCACCTGGGAACAACGGGAAAAAACGGGAATTACAGCCGGAATTACGGTGTGCCGCTCCACCGTCGGCACAACCTGGAAAAACACCGGGAATAACACCGGGAAAAACAGGAATTACAGGCGGAATCACCGTGTAGCTGCTCCACCGGCAGCGAGCACACCTGGGAATAACGGGAATGACAGCGGGAAAAATGGGAATGACGAGAAATACGGGAATTAGAGCGGGAATTGGGAGTGATGTGATCCACGGCAGCGAGCGCTCCCGGGGTTAAAACAGTGGGAAAAACAGCGGGAATTACAGTGGGAAAAACGGGAATGACAGGAAAACTGGGAATGAGAACAAGAATTGGGGGTGCTCTGATCCACCAGCACACCCGGGAAAACAACGGGAATAACGACGGGAAAAATGGGAATGAGAGCGGGAATCACGGTGTGCCGATCCACCGGCACCGAGCGCAGCTGGAAACAACGGGAATGGCGGGAAAAATGGGAATGACGGGGAAAAAATGGGAATGAGAGCGGGAATGGGGGCTGTGCTGATCCACTGTCAGCAGGAACTCGTGGAATAACGGGAATAACAGCGGGAAAACCGGGAATGAGAGCGGGAATGGGGGTGTGCTGATCCGCCAGCAGCGTGGGCTCTGGGAATTCCAGGAATTCCAGGGGAACACTGGGAATTGAGGCTTCTCCCGTGGGATAATTCCAGGAATTCCAAAGGGAAAAATCCACCCCAATCACAGCTCCTGGCTCTGGGAATTCCAGGAATTCCAGAGGGAAAGAACCGCTCCGTTCCCAGGGGGAATTCCCTGTGTCCGCATCCCCCGATTCCCGGATCACCATTCCCAAGGTTCCAGCATTCCCGGATTTCTGAGGTTCCTGCACTCCTGAATTCCCGAGGTTCCAGCATTCCCTGATTCCCAATCACCATTCCTGAAGTTCCCGCGTTCCCGGGGTTCCCGGAATTCCCGTTATTCCCGGGGTTATTCCCGAGGTCATTCCCGCTGTTATTCCCATTGTTGGTAATTCCCATTGTTGGTAATTCCCATTGTTGGTTCCCATTCCCGTTGTTGGTTATTCCTGTTGTTGTTCCCGGATTCCCGCTGTTGTCATTCCCGCTGTTGTCATTCCCGCGGTTGTTTCCCAGATTCCCGCGGTTGTTTCCCAGATTCCCGCTGTTGTCATTCCCGCGGTTGTTTCCCAGATTCCCGCGGTTGTTTCCCAGATTCCCGCGGTTGTTTCCCAGATTCCCGCGGTTGTTTCCCAGATTCCCGCGGTTGTTTCCCAGATTCCCGCGGTTGTTTCCCAGATTCCCGCGGTTGTTCCCCAGATTCCCGCGGTTGTTTCCCAGATTCCCGCGGTTGTTTCCCAGATTCCCGCGGTTGTTCCTGCGGTTGTTTCCCAGATTCCCGCGGTTGTTACCCAGATTCCCGCGGTTGTTTCCCAGATTCCCGCTGTTCCCGTCACTCACGTCCTTGTGCCGGTGGAATCCGATCTGCCCCACGTCCATGTCCGGAGTTTTCCGCAGGTTGCTCCAGGGGGTGTAAACAACCGACACCGAGCTCAGCTTGCAGCCTGGGAACAACCGGAACGACAACGGGAATGGGAACAGCGGGAACGACAACGGGAATGATGGGAATGACAACGGGAATAATGGGAATCACAACAGCGGGAATGGGAATGACAACGGGAATAACAATGGGAATGACAACGGGAATAATGGGAATCACAACAGCGGGAATGGGAATGACAACGGGAATAACAATGGGAATGACAACGGGAACAACAGCAGCGGGAATGACAATGGGAATAATGGGAATGACAACAGTGGGAATGGGAACAACAATGGGAATAACACCGGGAATAACAACAGTGGGAAAGCCAGCGGGAACAACGGGAACAGCGGGAATAACGGGAACGGGAATAGCAACGGGAATAACAGGAAGAACGGGAATGGGAGTAACACCGGCACGGTTGTTGTGGAATAACAGTGGGAATAATGGGAATAACAATGGGAATAACAATGGGAATAACAATGGGAATGGGAATAATGATGGGAACAACAACAGCGGGAATGACAACAGTAACGGGAAGAACAGCGGGAAGAACAGCAGCGGGAACAACGGGAATAACAATGGGAATAATGGGAATAACAATGGGAATAACAACGGGAACAGCGGGAACGAACAGCCGGGAAAAGAGGAGGAAACAGCCAGGAAAGAGCGGGAAAAACAACCGGAAAAATCAGCGGGAAAAATTGGGAAAAACAGTGGGAGAAATGAAGGAAAAATGGGGGAAAAATGGGAAAAGAGGTGAGGGGGAATAGCGGGAAAAATGGGAAAAAAAAGAGGGAAAAATGGGAAAAAAAAGAGGGAAAAATGGGGAAAAAAAATGGGAGAAGAGTGGGAAAGGCGGGAAAAATGGGAGAAAGGGGAAAAATGGGAAAAAAGTGGGAAAAAGAAGGAAATAAAAGGTGGGAAATGAGAAAAGAGCAGGAAAAGCAGGAAAAACGGAGGAGAATTGGGAAGAAAAGTGGGAAAAATGGGAAAATTGTGGGGAAAATTGGGAAAAAGGCGGGAAAAATTTCGCGGGATTTAGGGCAGATCCCGACCCCTTCCCGAGGTTTTTCCCCGAGGGTTTTCCCGAGGGTTTTTCCCGGGATTCCGGGATACCTTGGATGCTGTTGGCCTTCACCAGGTGGGCGCAGTCGCTCAGAACTTCCTTGGGAATGTCATCCATGGTCTGGCCCTGGCACGGAATTCCCAAATTCCCAGAGATTCCGGATCGCCCGGCCCGGAATTCCCGGGGGATTTCCCAGCTGTTCCCAGGGTTTCCCAGGGAAAATCCCAATTTTCCCGAGGTTTCCCAAGGAATATCCCACTTTTCCCAAGGCTTTTCCTGATTTTCACGCAGTTTCCCAGGGAAAATCCCAATTTTTCCACAGTTTCCCCAGCGATGTCCCATTTTTCCCAAGATTTCCCGAGGGATATCCCGCTTTTCCCAAGGTTTTTCCCAATTTTCCCGAGGTTTCCCAGGGAAAATCCCAATTTTCCCGCAGTTTCCCAAGGTTTTTCCCAATTTTCCCGAGGTTTCCCAGGGCATATCCCCGTTTTCCTGAGGCCGCCCAGGGAACAGCCCGGCTTTTCCAAAGGTTTTCCCCAAAACTCCTGAAGTTTCCTGAGGTTTTTCCCGCGTTTCCTGGGGGTTTTCCCGCTTTTCCCAGGGTTTTTCCTGCTTTTCCTGAGCTTTTTCCTGCTTTTCCCAAGGTTTTTCCTGTTTTCCTGGGGTTTTTCCCGCTTTTCCCAGGGTTTTCCCCATTTTTTATAGGGTTTTTCCCACTTTTCCCAGGGTTTTTCCCGCTTTTCCCATGGTTTTTCCCACTTTTCCTGCAATTTCCTGGGGTTTCTCCCACTTTTCCCGAGGTTTCTCCCACTTTTCCCGAGGTTTCTCCCACTTTTCCCGAGGTTTCTCCCACTTTTCCCGAGGTTTCTCCCACTTTTCCCGAGGTTTCTCCCACTTTTCCCGAGGTTTCTCCCACTTTTCCCGAGGTTTCTCCCACTTTTCCCGAGGTTTCTCCCACTTTTCCCGAGGTTTCTCCCACTTTTCCCGAGGTTTTTCCCATTTTTTCCAGGTTTTTCCCGGGACTCACCTTGTGCAGGCGCAGGTAGACGTGGGCTGAGGAGAGCTTGTCCACGTGGAACCTGCGGAATGCCGGGAATTCCAGGGAATTCCAGAGAATTCCGGGGAATTCCGGGGGATCCCCACCCCCACCCTGGTCCCAAATTCCCGATTCCCAAAACCCATTCCCAGGGATTTCCTGGGAATCGCCAATCCCGGGGCTGGGGGATGGGAGGAGAATTCCTGGGAATGCGGAGGGGAAAAATGGGGAAAAAGGGGGAAAAATGGGGAAAAAATGGGGAAGAATGGGAAAAAATGGGGGAAAAATGGAGGGAAAATGAGGAAAAAATGGGGAAAAATGGGGAAAAAATGGGGAAGAATGGGAAAAAATGGGGGAAAAATGGAGGGAAAATGAGGAAAAAATGGGGAAAAATGGGGAAAAAATGGGGAAGAATGGGAAAAAATGGGGGAAAAATGGAGGGAAAATGAGGAAAAAATGGGGAAAAATGGGGAAAAAATGGGGAAGAATGGGAAAAAATGGGGGAAAAATGGAGGGAAAATGAGGAAAAAATGGGGAAAAATGGGGAAAAAATGGGGAAGAATGGGAAAAAATGGGGGAAAAATGGAGGGAAAATGAGGAAAAAATGGGGAAAAATGGGGAAAAAATGGGGAAGAATGGGAAAAAATGGGGGAAAAATGGAGGGAAAATGAGGAAAAAATGGGGAAAAATGGGGAAAAAATGGGGAAGAATGGGAAAAAATGGGGGAAAAATGGAGGGAAAATGAGGAAAAAATGGGGAAAAATGGGGAAAAAATGGGGAAGAATGGGAAAAAATGGGGGAAAAATGGAGGGAAAATGAGGAAAAAATGGGGAAAAATGGGGAAAAAATGGGGAAGAATGGGAAAAAATGGGGGAAAAATGGAGGGAAAATGAGGAAAAAATGGGGAAAAATGGGGAAAAAATGGGGAAGAATGGGAAAAAATGGGGGAAAAATGGAGGGAAAATGAGGAAAAAATGGGGAAAAATGGGGAAAAAATGGGGAAGAATGGGAAAAAATGGGGGAAAAATGGAGGGAAAATGAGGAAAAAATGGGGAAAAATGGGGAAAAAATGGGGAAGAATGGGAAAAAATGGGGGAAAAATGGAGGGAAAATGAGGAAAAAATGGGGAAAAATGGGGAAAAAATGGGGAAGAATGGGAAAAAATGGGGGAAAAATGGAGGGAAAATGAGGAAAAAATGGGGAAAAATGGGGAAAAAATGGGGAAGAATGGGAAAAAATGGGGGAAAAATGGAGGGAAAATGAGGAAAAAATGGGGAAAAATGGGGAAAAAATGGGGAAAAATGGGAATAAAAATGGGGAAAAAGGGAATAAAAATGGGGAAAAAGATGGGGGAAATGAGGAAAATTTTGGGAAAAAAAACGGAAAAAATGGGGAAGAATGGGAAAAAAATGGGGAAAAAA